TAGTCACAAGGGTCAATTTTTTTAAATTGAGATTTATACATCATCTGAATGCTGAATAAATAAGCATATACACAACTATTTGAAAATCTGGAATCTGAGGGTGCAAATAAATCAAAGTATTGAGAAAATCGCCTTTAAAGTTGTCCAAATTAAGTTCTTAGCAATGCATTACTAATCAAAAATTAAGTTTTAATATATTTACGGTAGGAAATGTACAAAATATCTTCATGGAACATGATCTTTACTTAACATCCTAATGATTTTTGGCATAAAAGAAAAATCTATAATTTTCACCCATACTATGTATTGTTGGCTATTGCTACAAATATACCCCAGTGACTTAAGACTGCTTTTGTGCAGTATACAAAGAGCTGTTATATACAGATAATATAAACATTCATTTAAATATCACATATAAGGATTTGTACATATAGAGTGTGAAAATATGAATATATGCTACATGTGTTATATATATATAATATTATGTAATATGAATATTTTGCATAAAAATACAAGAAAAGCACAATACTTACGTTTTTTACCATTGATATAATCCAAGAAATTTATGGAATCTTTTACTACACAATCACAGACATTGCAGTAGTACCTGAGAGGAAGGAAATACATAATTATATCAACAGAAATAGCACAATACCCTGAAATATTGTCAGCCAATGAAAAGACTCATACATTACAACATACATTATGTTTCAACAAAACAAAACACTAATCACTATCATTTTAATCAATATTGCGATTTCATTTAGACTTTTAATCACCATTTTGACATAATATTTCCTGACACTTTACATTCATAAATGCATTTTGGTTTTATGAATTTTAATTTGAAACATTTTTCAAAAGGAAACCAGGGGCCTGTTCCATGAAGCCGGATTAGCTGGCTAGCCAGGTAAGTTTCAGTTTAGTTTGCACCAATCCTGGGTTTTAGGTACCATGAAAGTGGCTTGGCTTTTAACGGCCTTCATTGCCATGGTAACTTACACTCCACAGCTAACCTGCTCCGGGGGAGCTTATGTTCTGGGTAAGAGATCTCAAACTGAAATTGGACCAATCAGATGTGAGCAAAGTGACAAATTGTTTGACGCAAAAAAGTCACTCCCCCAGTTTCTCTTGCTCCAAATTAAAGGTCACTCGTACTTATTACTAGTAAAAATTGTCTGGGTTTAATAATTACTTAGTTATTATTTTATATGATTTATATAATTATATTATTTATATTATTATTAATCCATTATACACAGGCACTTTTAGTTTAACAGCTATTATAAATCATGTATTTTAAATGAATGTTAATATATACAGATTGTATGTATAAATAAGCTGTAGAATCAATAGATAACGCTTTTTAAAAATGACTACATGTGACCTTGTTCGAGTCTATATTGCTGTATATTTTCAACTATATAAACTAACTTAACAAGTTTCACTTGTGACTGCACTGATAGAGCAAGATCATTTACTTTATTTGTCCACTTTCATTAAAAAGTACTTTTTTTTAAAATTGTAAATGCGTTTAAATTAATCATATTCTTCAATCTCTTAACCTTTAGCAAAACCTT